CTGTGAGTTCTAAGTGTCTCCCGAAAGGGCAGCAGGAAGTTGCCCATTGAGGAGCCTATCACTCTGTGATTCCCAGGAACAGGCCTGCTTTAGTATCCATACTGGGTTCTGTCACTGGTTGCCCCATGAGAAGCATAGCCTCAGAATAAGTGTGGTGCCATATTCCAGGGCTCAGTAGTTGGGGCCTTTGGTCAGTTACACCGTCAGCTGGAGAGCCGAGAGGTGCACTTTTAGGACCACACCACTAGGACTTGAGACCCTTATGTTAAGGTACATAGAGAGGGTCAACATCCCCTGCTGTTCCCAGGCCATACTGAACAGTAATGGCAAGCACATGAGACTGCACACCTTGGCTAGATCCACTGGACAATCTCTCTTGCCTCCCAAGCCCTAGACAATTAAGCCAGGACATTGCCCTTACGCTTTGCCTGCTCACTGGCCAACAAGAGGCAGAGTCTAAAGAGATCATTTTGGGAACAGAGAGCCTGGAGTGGGCAAAGGACATGTGAAGCCCAGTGCACCTTGGGGCAGAAATGGACATGGAGTTCTCAGTCAAAAAGGGGAGAAAGTACAACCCCTTACACCCCTCGTTTTGTGCTTTTCAACACTCTAGGTCCTAAAAAACCCTGCACTTGGACGGCAGCCTGGAGGCCTTTGGTGGCGCTGCTGCTCTCTGCATTGTCTGTGCTCCCAGCTTCTAAGACCCTGAGGGCTTTAGTATCTCCAAAGGATTTTCTAGAACTGAGCTGGACAGAGCAAATATGTGTAAACAAGCACTCGTGAACTCTGCCCAGGAACTGACTTTGACCTCTTTGCTAGGAGAAAGCTGCCCTCTGGTAGCACAGCTTACTTTTATAACTCAAGGGGAAGAAAGAGAAAGCTCTGGTCCAAGAAAAAGTCAACTGAGGCAAGGCCAGGACTAGAATATGTGAAAACAAGCTAAACAAAAAAGCACCCGAAACTAGAACTCCGGTGTGTTTCTGTTTCCCGCATTCTTCAGGAAGGGCAGCTAACCCTGATCACTGGCTCACTCTGCTCCAGCCACTTAAAATAGATGCTGTAACCTCCTCCGCCCAACCCCGGGCAGCAGGCACCTGTCTTAGCGCTGTGCTGCTCTAATAGAATGCCTGGCACTGGGGATGGTATAATGGACAGAATTTATTGGGGTTCACAGTTCTGGAGGCTGGGAAGCTCAGTATCAAGGTGCTATCATCTGGCAAAAATCTTCTTGCTATGTCTTCATAATGGTCAGAGGTAGGGCAAGAGGGAGCTCAACTCATCCTTTTATAATGGCACCAATCCCATCCCTAACAGTGGAGCCCTCATGGCCTAATCACCTCTTAAACATCTCACCTCTTTGTACTATTACAATGGCAATTAAATGTCAACATGCTTGTTGAAGGGGACAAATACTCAAAACCATACTAGCACTAGTAGAAGCTATAGCAGAGACCTTTGGTAAATTGCTCAAGGTAACAAGGCTAAGTGGCCAGCATGGGATTCAAGCACTTCTCTCTGCCTCGAAGTTCCTCTCTTGGAAGTTGCACCTTGCTACCTCAGGGACAGAAACCCACTTAATACCATAGGCCTTCAGCACTTTCCAGGGTCTGCCCTCAAAGTTCTTGCCCCTTTCCATCAAGTATTAATACTCAATTATTTTTAATTGCATTGGCTCCAAAACTCCATTTTCAAATTCCTACTTAGTTCTATGGCTTCATTTCCTTCGATTCCTAATTGGGTTGCTGTGTCTGATTCATACCGATGAGATGTTCTTAAGCTTCTTTTAAATTCCGCCTCTCCTCTTCCTAGTTAATGCATTGCTACACTCCCCTGAGGCACTCCCAGCTATTTATCACCAGAGAATGCTATTGCATCAATTAACCTGGTGAGCAAAGTTGTTTCTTCTCTAAAATTAGCTAGGATTACGGAAGAGAGGGGAAAGGAAAGAGAAACGCCATGCATCTGTCATGACATGATGAACTGTGCTGAGTCTGTGTGGATGACATTCATGGGTGCTTTCTGGCCGTCCTGGGCAGGTCCTTCCCATACGTGCCCTCTTGTGCCCATTCTGCAAAGATAAGGCCACATCCCTGATCTCACTTTACCCTCTCTATGACCTATCATGCTATTGGTGCTGTCCCCACTGAACAGATGAGAAAACTGCAGCTCTGAGAGGTTTAGCAACTTTGCCTATCGAGAGCTCACAGAGCTGGCATACAACAGAGCAGAGACTAAATTCTCATCTCACAGACTCAGGGCTGCTCTTCCACGATCCTAGTAGAGTAAGAGGAGTAAACTTCCCTGGCTGGCTTCGCCTGGCTTCTGAAAGAGACCTCGGTCTCTAGAGCTGGGACTGCTTCTCTCGAAAGTTTGATTCATCTGCTGAGTTTCGAGATTGAGGTCTAACAGAGTGTGTATACATGACCATGGGGGGGACCTTGCCACAATTCTAAATTGTTTATGGCTTCTGGAAAGCAAAGGAAGAGGAGGGAAAGTCAGGGGTCAGCCAGAGCTCAGCCACGAGCAGTCTTGATGCCATATGGTGGTAGGTTGACTTGGTCGAAGTGAGAAACAAGACACAGTGCATGAGCAGGTTATCTGCTCCCTGTCACATTTCTAAGCAATGGGTCCCCTGCAAGCACCACAGAAGAAATCTTCCATGGAAGAAGAAACAAATCTCTCTCCACTATTTTCTTTAAGAAATGCACTAGTTAATACAGTGTGGTCTCTTTTATGGATTAAAACAACTATGCATTCATGCATATTTTTGATCAAGAAGGAGGGATACTGTACACATAGTAGATTGTGAGAGAAAGATGATAGAAATGAGCTTTTTCTTTTTTATTGTTTAAATTTTCCTATTTTTTATATATCAATAGCACTTTTTTTAATGCACCAGTATAGTGTTAGGAACTCTTATGTTGGTGTTTCTGTGTGCGTCTTTTGTTTTTTTCTTCATTCTTAGGAGAACCAGTTCAGATAGCGCTGACTCTGGACGTTGCAAGTATTTCCAGTATTTCAGAGAGTAACATGGTAAGTGTCACACTCCTGGGATGTAACAGGGAACCGCTGTCTAGCTACTCAAAACAAAAGAAGGACTATGACCCTCCTCCACTAGAGACAGAGACACCGAAAGTTAGAGACCTATCCCCCAGCTAAAGACAGCAAACGATTCTTGTAGAACGGATTTCCTGAATATCAGGAAGAAAATGGATTCAAAGGTCAGAAGAAGTGAAACCAATGAATGGAGTGGGAACATTGGTGAGGAATAAAAATTGAGGAAAAAAAAAAAGAACCGAAGTATAATGAGGGAGGCTGGTGAGCAGGTAGTCATTCGTAGAGGGGTAGACAAGCTGATAAAAACAATCAGATGTGCGTCTCAACTGTCCTCCCACTTAAAAGGACACTAGAGCCAGCGTGATGGCACAGTGGTTACACAATGCTGTGCAACACTGAGGCCACATGGGAAGGTCCTGGGTTTGTGTCCTGAGGTCTTGCAGGACACACCAGGCGTGTACACGTGCCCATGTTGGTGCCTGGCTAAGACTGGGGCTGGATCATGGCTTGAAGAGACTGTTGGGGGCCCTCTCTTTCTCTTTCTCTTTCTCTTTCTCTTTCTCTCTCTCTCTCTCTCTCTCTCTCTCTCTCTCTCTCTGTGTGTGTGTGTGTGTGTGTGTGTGTCTCATGGAAGAAATAAATGAATAAGCTTAAAATTAAAAATGATACATCAAAGACAAGGTCAAACCAAAGGCAGTTCTCCAAGAGGGCCCACTGTGTAGTCCACGTAAATCCTGGACAACACAAGCACTTAGCTTCCCAAAAACTTCAACGGTTTGGTGAGGCCCTTGTGATGTAGGGCAGCACAAGTTTCATGCTAAGTTAAGGCCTTGAACATGGGGATTCCTTTTGGCTCTAGAAGTTCTTACCTAGACTAAATAAGACAGTCTGTTCTGTCTGCTAAGTGGAGTGGAGAGAAATTTCCGAGTCTTTCTTCATCCCCACGCACTCCCCCCCTGCCTCTCCCAGGACTACACAGCCACCATATACCTCCGACAGCGCTGGACAGACCAGCGGCTGGTCTTTGAAGGGAACAAGAGCTTCACTCTGGATGCCCGCCTCGTGGAGTTCCTCTGGGTGCCAGACACTTACATCGTAGAATCCAAGAAGTCCTTCCTCCACGAGGTCACTGTGGGAAACAGGCTCATCCGCCTCTTCTCCAATGGCACGGTCCTTTACGCTCTCAGGTACATGGCCACCTGCCACCTCAGGGTGGGAGGGGAAGCACTGGGAAAAAAGGCACAGTTGCATGCCAGGTAGTTTTAACCAGCTCTAAAACAGCCACTCTGTGGTCTCATATGTCTCACCTTACCCCCTTGAATCTTGGCCCTGTAAGAGAAGGGCCCTCCCCAATCAGTCTGGCTTAACTTGCATCCACCCGCCCTGTGCCAGGCCCTGTGCTGGACACTGAGGGTACGGGGCAGAGTGAGACCCTGCTCCATCCTCAGGACACAGACCTGTAAACAGCAGAAGTTCCAGGTGCTGGGGCGCGAGCTCGGGAATAAGCCAGTGGTGGGGGGAGATGGTGAAGGACACGCTCACATGATTCTGAACGCTGTCTTCAAAGGTAGAGAGACGGTAGCAAGGGAAGAAGCGAGGCCGATGGTAAGAGCAGAGGGGCCCGTTCAAGGAGCTTTTTTTCCTGGGACTCTGTGACCTTAGGCAAGTGACTGGACTCTCTCAAGAAAGTCTTGGTTTTTTCAGCAGTGAAATGAGAATAACAATATAAGGGGACTTCAAAAAGTTCTTGGGAAAATGGAATTACTTTATTTTTGTTTAAGAAAATTTTGAAACCCATGCACAGTGTTTTCATGATATGCATTTCCTATGAACTTTTTGAAGAGCGCTGGTATTTTCTGGTTAATAGGATTAATTGTTCAAAGGCACAGTGCGAGCGCGGGAAGCACTCAACTCAGGACTGCCTGTGGTGAGTGCTCTGTAAACAGGAGCTGTTATTCTCCGTCTCCCTTGAAGGAGCACGTGCTTCCTCAAGGGCACTGTGCTAGTAAGTACTGCCATCGTCCCCCAATACCTAGCACGGTGCTTATCACGTAGACAGCTTAAGGAAACATGATACCGAAGAAAAAGGAAGGTAAAGACCTGGCGACTGAAGTCTCCACTGTGAAGGCTTACCTGACATTTAATTGACCATCTCTGAGTGTTGAGCCCCCAAACATCTCACAGTGCCTAGTGCCCTCGACTTTCTCTGCGATCTGACGCCCTCGAAAAGGTGGGGGCCTGTGAGAAGAACTCAGCCAGGAACCCTGGCCTGCAGTCCCAGCTCTGACCCTCAGAGCCATGTGGGCTAAGTATGCCCCCAAGTCTTGTCAAATGGTGGCGATAGCGACCGTGAGGCGACCGTGAGCACTGTTCCAGCCCCACACAGACTTGTCAGAAAGATTACAATGCAAGACTGAAAACGAGAGTCTGTGAGACAAGCCAGTGAGTGGGCCTGCTCTGTGATGTTGCTGGGCACTGTTCCTCTGCATTGACAAGGTCCCTGCCTCCTCCACTCTGGACCCGTCGTTAACTGACTCTCCAGGTGTTGTTCAGCGCAGAACACCTCAAGGATGCTCTGGATGCAGGCTCCAAGCCGCACGCTCATTGCTAGAGTCCGGGTGAAAGTCTTCTTGGGGTGGCCCCTAGAAGAGAATGTATACTTTCTATAGCTTCCTCATAACACTTTTCAAAACCTCTTTTTCCTCTTAGAATCACGACAACTGTTGCCTGTAACATGGATCTGTCTAAATACCCCATGGACACACAGACATGCAAGCTGCAGCTGGAAAGCTGTGAGTATAGCCTAGAAGCCCCTGAGATGATTTTCCTGGGTGACTTAGATCTGAGCAGACATGAAGAATGTTCCTTACAGATGTTGGTTCACAAGGGATTCAACCCTTCTGACTATAGCTCCAGACAGGTTTAGAGACTCCTCAAAGAAAAGTCTTCTAACATTACATCTTTGAGGAGGAACGACTGTGCAGTAGTACCAAATATCTCCACTCACAAGTAGTCACAGAAGGAAAGGAATCGTTCCAGGGCAGTTAGTGGTCTAGACTGGGGCCCAGCACACCATGGCCCAGGTACCAGACCAGCACATCACCCGATTCTGTAAGTAAAGTTTCCTTAGAGCAGAGATGGGCTCTTCATTTATGCGCTGTGTGGGGCTGCTTTCCACTGTGATGTCACAGTCAGTTATTTGTGACAATGACCACACGACCCACAAAGTCTACAATACCAACCATCTTCTTTGCTATGGAACTTTTAAGAGGTTTTAAGAGCTTCTAATAAGCTAATTCTATGTGAAATTCCCAGAAGGAATAGAAACCTTTCCTGAATTTATTTAAGCATAAAATCTTGTTGCATAAGTACTTTTTGTGAGTGGGACCAGCAAATGGCATAGCAGTTACATCACTGGATTTTCACATGGCCCACCATGGTTTGAGTCCTAGACCTGGTGACTTGAAACTTATGTGGGGTACGTATGCATGTAGACTCAAGATCCTGGGAGGAGGATAGAGAAGGGATTGCAGCAGGGCCATCCTCACTGGAGGGGTGGGGTGGTGGTGGAGGGATTTCTCACTTTCCCTCTCACTGTCTCTCTCTCTCTGGCAAGTATACGTGCCCTAAGGCAAAAACCTCTACTGAAAAGAAAATACTCTGTGGGGCTATTTTATAAAACATATTTTAGTGAAAATGGATCTAGACTCGTCCCTGATACCTGAACTGTAAACATGGTACATAGGCCATTTATCTCTCTACCAATTCTCAAAGACACCATGACCCCAGCTGAGTTCTTCATGAATTAATCTATAATCACGGTCTTCACCCGACCCCCCTCACTCCAGCCACAGGCCCCTGGAAGCAGATAAAGAGGTCATAAAAGGCCTATGACCTTTTATCAGTGTCCTTTTCATTTGTCAGCAAGCATGCCCAGGATTACCTTTTAGTTCTAGAAGAGCTTTGTTTTTTCGTTTCTCTAGTGCAAAACACTATAGTTACTAGCAAGACTTCACTATCCATGGCACTAGGGAGGCTAGAGGAGAAAAACTGGTGGGAGGTGGCAAAATATGGCTTATGACCTTGATGTGCTATTGCCGTGGCCTCCTTAATAACCACAATAATAAAAAATGTTGAGCCAGATCCATAGCCTAGTGGTCAAAGGTGCCATATCCCACATGGCTGGCAATGGTTAGAATCCTGGCCCCCGTGACTTGAAAATATGCCAGGTGTTGGGGCCAGCAGATGGTGTGTAGGTTAGGGTGGCTGGATCCCACATGGCTGACTGTACTACTCCAGTCCCGGACCTGGTGGCTTGAAAAACACACCAGGCACATGTATCTGTGTGCCCACAACCCCGAGAAGAGAATGGAGGAGAAGGGATTGTGATGTGGCCATCCCCTTGGAAGATACTTTCTCACTTCCCTCTCTCTTTCTGTCTCTCTGTGTCTCTAGCCAGCACATGTGCCCTATAGAAAAAAATTAATAGAAAAATAAAAAGGAGAAAAACAGGCTAAGTCCATGTGTATGTATGCCCCAAATCCCAACAAGATGGGGAAGTGGAGAAGGGATTATGATGTGACCATGCCTCACTGGGGACCGGGGTGCTCCTCTCTCTCTCTCTCTCTCTCTCTCTCTCGCTCTTGCTCTCTCTCTCCCTCTGTTTCTCTCTAGTGAGTACACATACTCTCTGACAAAAAAATGTTCATAAAAATAAGTGTTAAGGCATTTGTTTACCAATTGCTTACTATGTGCCAGGCACTATAGTAAATACCTTTCAAATAATCCTGTGAGATAAATATTGTTTTCCTATTGTACATATATAGAAATTGAAGCTCATTATAATTTGGTAACTTTCCCAAGGGGACCCAGGAAATAGCCAACACTGGGACTTGAACCCAGGTAGACTGAGTTCAAAGTCTGAATGTCCACTAACTAACAGCCATAACTGGAGAGCCATGCAGGACTTGTTCCGTGGCTTCTTTGTGATCTGAGCTATATCTTTTTCCAAGCATACCATAAAGTGCTTTTAAATGGTAATACGGGGATAATGAAAAGCTTTTAATAACTTCTTTCCAGTTTCTCCAGTGCCCACTTATTATCATTTTTTCCCTAAATTGAATAACCATGTGATACTTTAGGATTTCCCAAATCCTGCCAGAATGTTAAAGTGAATTACAATGTGATTATCACACAGTGGTCCCAAACATATTCCTACGCTAGTTCCTCTCCATTACAACCAAAGCCAGTATTTTCCCTTTCTGTGTGTCCTAAGGTACATCTTTCATTTCAGTTCAGTATTTTAGTTCTACATATTGTCCAATAAGTCACCAGCTAGTCTGAATGGTTGGCTGAGCTCCGTATGTCTGTCCTTATTTAAATGCATATGATTCCTCTGTTCAACAGCTAAATGACTATTGAGTGTTAGACTCTGTGGTAGGTGTTTACAATGCAAAGAGAAAAACGAATTTCTAGTCTTCAAGAAGTCTACAGTTTAATAAAGCCTAGAAGACTTAAAATAATTATAACAGAACAAATGATAACAATAAAAAAGGAATGGTGGCCCAGCCTTGGTGGCACACACTAGTAGGTGCTGCTGCTTGGAAGACTGAGGTCCCATGGGAGGTCTGGGTTCAGTTCCCAGCCCACCCTGAAAGCCAGGCATGGCAGTGAGCACCTGTAGTCCAGCTATTCAGGAGACTTAAATTGGAGGATCGCGATACAGCAAGACCCTTTCCAAAAGACAGTGGTATTATGGAAGCCTGGGGGAATGAGAAGTTTCCTAGGGGAAGCACCACTTGAAATGAGACATGAGGAAATAGCTGGAGTGGGCCAGGAGGACAAGGAGTAGGCCACAGACTCTGCTAAGTCACAGAAGCTAGAAGGAACACAGCAGAAGTCAGAAATGGTAAATATGCAAAGCATTCGTTGACATATGTCACACAGTTGCTTCCAACTTTTAAAAGAGATAAATTGATAGATATAAAGCTTAAAACAGCAGAGCCAACCTGTGCCTGGACCCCACATGGCTGACTGTATGGTCCAAGTCCCAGTGCTTGAAATACACACCAGCAGCATGTGCACCTGTGCCCAAAATCCCAAAAGGAGGGAGAAATGGAGGAGAGGGGATTGCAGTGTGACCTTGTCCCATGCCAGGTGGTTCTTTCTTTCTTTCTCCTCTCTCTCTCTCTGTCTCTGACAAGCACACACATCCTCTGGCCAGGTTTTTTTTGTTGTTTGTTTATTGTTTGTTTGTTTTTAACTAAAAACTGAAAACATTATTGCTAGTATTTGGTTGTCAGGAAAGTCATGACGGATTTTTCTGTTTTTCTACGCAAAAAAGCATTGTGACTTTTCTGACCACCCAACACGTGAGCAGCTAAACCATAAACTTGGAATTTGCTTATAATAAAAAATGAGAATTTACTGTGTGTTGTGGTATGTCAAATGAACTCCGTGGCATTGTTAAATAATCTTCCTCACTCCTTGGTAAACCACTCTGAAACACCCACCACACTGAGGCACCTGTGACAGAAAGCTATCCCGGAGCTGATTTATTAAGGCACCGAAGCATGGCTTGAGTGGGGGGATGGGAAGCTAGCGGAGACCAGTGAGCGCTCCATGCAGAAGGACACAGTAGGCACCAGCCAAGACGCACCACCATTAGGAGGCAGAGCCATTTTTCAGAACCAGACATTTAATTAAAGACTGAGACAGATTAATTATCTTATTGATTAAGTGCATGCAAAACCTTCTTGAAGCAAGGCAGCTGTTTGGTGGAGAATAAAACTTGAGGTTATCCAAAAAAAAAAAACCTCATTTTCAGTCCCACACAGTAAAAGTAATTGCCCTGCACATGTCGTGGCTGGGCTCATCTCAAATCCCAGGAGCAAAATTCTCCAAGAAACTTCAGCACTCTGCTTGCTCAAATACCATTCCCAGTGAGCGGAGGAATGTTTGCTAGCGGTTATTTGGGTACAGAAACCTTACTAAGGGCTTATTCCAAGTGCATCCCTAGAAGAGAATTGATACCAGCCTACACTTGCCCACATCCATCCAGGGACAGAGAGCAGATGTTATAATAACATGAACATTTACTAACTGTAAAAGCAAAGTGTCCAAGTAGCAACTCATACTGCTCACTTTTGTAGCTATCTTTATTTCTTTGGGATTCTAGGTAGATTTGGACAGCTAGCTTTAGCACATTTTTGGGTGCTTCCAAGGGAAAGCCCACTAGCCATTTTTACCCAGAAATCCCATCACCTTTCCTTGTAGCCTTTGAAAGTAAAGGCAGTGTTGCTTTGTGGTTAAGGCCAGGCTGTGGTGCAGTGGTAGGAAGCATGGCTCCTTGAGGCTGACCCACATGGGAGGTTTCAGGTTTGTGTCCAAGGCCTCCTGAGTATGCTGGGTACTCGCATGCCATAATCCAGGGCTGGCTGAAGCTGGGGGTAGGTCATGACATAAGGACACTATTGGGGGTGATGTCTCTCTGTCTCTCTCTCTCTCATAGAAGAAATAAGTCTTTTAAAAACACTTGAAAGTCACAGCTACTAGACCAATGTGTTTTCCCATCACTCGATGTATGACTTTGGGTGAGTAGCTAACCTCTCTGAACCTCAGTTTCCTCATCAGTGAAGTAGGAAAAATAATAGCACCTGACTCCAAGAGTTGTGTTCTGACAGCTTTATTGAAGGTGTAATTTACTGACTATAAAACTTCCTCATTTTGAGCAGAAAAGTCAAAGATTTTTAGTAAATTTACAGAGTCATACAACCATTGCCACAGGCCATTGTCAGCGCATTTGCAGTCACTCTGCATTCCCAGTCACTCTGCACTCCCAGGCAACTACTAATCTACTTCCTGTCACTACAAATTTGTCTTTTCTAGATAGTTCACATAAACAGCGTCGATACAGTATAGGGGTTTTCGCGTCCGGCTCCTTTCACTTAGTTCGTTAGCGAGGTTCAGACACGTAGTAGCTGTGCTGTAGGCAGTTACTTTTATTGCTTTGTATGGATATATGTCCCACTTTCTATCTAATTATTCATCAGTTGATGGGCATTGGCTAGTTTCCACCTTTTGGTGGTTCTGACTGATGCTGCTGAGAGTATTTGTGTACAAGTCTTTGGGCGGATGAAATGTGATTTCACTTCTCTAGGGCAGACGCAGGAGAGGAATGCTAGGTCAGATGGTAAATGTATGTTTAAGTTTTTAAGAAATGCCAAACTGGTACTGTTTTCTGAAGTGGTTGTACCGTGTGGTGCCAGTAATGTTCCAGCGTCCTCGCCGTCTGTCATTGTCTGTCTTCTTTTATTGTAGCCACTCTAAGTGGGTGTGAGGTACTACCTTACTGTGGTTTTGATTTGCATTTCCCTAATGACTAAGGAAGTTGGGCGTCTTTTCATGTCCTTATTAACCATTTATAATCTCAGAGATATTTTGTGAGTATTAAATGGGGTGATAATGCTATACAGCTCTTACAAATATAATTACTTAGTGAATGATAGATAGTAGTATCATTATTGCCCATGAACTTAGGAATTAAACCTTCCTGAGGTAAAATCCTTGTTTTGCTTCTCTCTTGCCTTGTTATCCTGAGGGACTTGGGCAATATCTCTTAATCTGAAAGTTTATATGGATAAAGTGAGAAAATTATTAGAGTCCTTCAGTTCTAAGAAATAGCATTATAGGATAAAAGAAAAAGCTCTTGACACATATATATATAATGTAAGATGCATCCACATTTCAGAAAATATTCTTTAAATGTTCATATTAGGACTGAAAAAATATAGAACTGTGTACAGAAACACTACTAGCATAATGCATAAAGGATTTCAAATGTTTAATAAAAGGTAACATATTACTACTATCAGCTATATTAATAAGATAGCATTTTAAAAATATTTTATATCTATTGCCAGAGGGTATGTGTGCTCACCAGAGAGAAAGAGAGAGAAAGCACCCTTCAATGGGGCGTGGACATGCTGCAATCCTTTCTCCTGCATTTCTCCATCCTTTGAGGATTTGGGGCACATGTCCACACATATGGTGTGTGTTTTACATCTCCAGTGTTTGGATTCCAACCAGGCTTGCCCACGTGGTAGCCAGGCTCCTATACAGTGTTTAACCACTGTGCAAAAGGGCCGTCCCAAACACACTGCTTTGAGATTTAGCAAATACACATACTTACAGACACCAAAGAAGGCAGGTGACTGCAAGTGTTTTGGTTTTCACATTTATGCCACTGTGGAAATATGAGTGGATCAGTTCTAACGTCCTGAAAAATACCATCAGAGCTGTTAGATTGTTCTAAAGGGGCAATATCTGCCATAAGCCATTGAGCGTTCATGTACATGTGTTCAGGAAGTATTTAACTAATAAGGGAAGCCACTTCTAAAGATGTATAATCTGCCTCGGCTATACAGTGCTAAGCAGAGGACCCGTTCTCAATCAATGGTCCCAGCTGGTGGCTTCGTTCTGAATAGACATGGCAGTTTCACTTGATGAATCACACCGAGTTTAGCATGGAATCACTCTTGGACTTAACACCTAAGACAGAGCTCACGCTGTCTGTCTTTATCAATAACACTTTCCAGCTCAGTTCAGCCTGCAACCTCCATGCACTTACCAGGGCTGTTTTATTTGCCAGGGGGCTACGATGGAAATGACGTGGAGTTCACCTGGCTGAGGGGAAACGACTCTGTGCGTGGACTAGAAAATCTGCGGCTTGCTCAGTACACCATTCAACGGTACTTCACCTTAGTCACCAGGTCGCAGCAGGAGACAGGTAACTCACGTGACTAACTCGAAAATAAAAATAAGCGAACTGAGGTGGATTGCTGCACTCTGAGTCAGAAAGAGCATCTCCACTTTAGCCCTTTGGGGTCCAGTAGAGGTGAGGAGTGGGGGCTCTTGGAGGAGGGTTAGGATTAGGGCTGAGTGCTTCTCCCTGCTCCACGCCCACTGAGAAGTGACTCTCGGAGTCGGCTCTGACACCTAGCACTGTTTATCTCTGGCTTGATTTCAGTAACTGCTGAAGTTCTGGGCCTCCCACGTGCATAAAATCACATGTGTGTCTAACTGGAGCACTGGTTCTCCGCCACCAAAGAATGAAAGTGAGAACAGAGCTCACAGGTGAAGAAGACAACCACAGTGCCAGCATAAACATACTCATGTAGCAAGCTGAGCAGGGAGAATTACTTGTTCATTTCCTTCGCCAAGGTTGGAGCTCTTAATCTTTGGCATCTTCTGACAGATATTTTCCAAAAGACTGGATTTTATACCTAAGCAATTGGTATTTCCTTTTCACTTCCTCATGGTAATATTAAGAATATTTATTCTCGTCATTATTTGCATCCTGAAAGAATTGCTAAGTATTTTCTTTTTGGTTGAGCCTAGATGACATTATAAAATCCTATGTGGAACACGATCATGACTCCATGAAAGTTAGAAACTGAAAGCTATGAGTAAAGGAAAAGCTGGAAGGATAAGTGTTTCTCACCTTTCTCATTTTCCAAAATTTAAATAGTATTACTTTTATAATGGACATATAAATTACATTTAATTTTCTTAAGAATTATTTTATTTTAACTTTATTTTTATTTATTTGACCGGAGAGGAACAGAGTGAAAGAGAGAGAGGGAAAGTAAGAAAGCAAGCCGCCAGATCTGGGACTTGAACTGCTGTCAACCATGTGGGAGTCTAGCGCCCTTTACCACCACACTACCTGCTGGCCCCACAATTTTTAAAAAACAAGTTTTTTGGTTATGCTGCCATAGTTGACCAAATCTGGATTCTCCATCTCAGTTCATGTAAAAAAAAATGGCTTTACTTTTCTAAATTATTTAATTCCAGGTAGCCTACAGCTGCTTTAGAAACAAGAGTAGGTCATTATTTGGTCAAACATTACTTCTACGTGTTTTTTGAAACATCTACTTTTAAAGTTAAGAGACTAAAGCAGGATGTATAGACTAATAGAACACTCATAAATCAAAGGACAAGAGACCTGATTTTTAATATTGCTTCTAAAATCAATTATGAATCCTTATTCAAGTTACTGAAACGCCTTGTGTCTCAATTTCTTCACCAATGGAGTGATCTCTAGGGTCTCATCAGGCTCTAAAATTGCATGTTTGTATTGTCTACTACATTCTTCTAAGAATGCTTCTGTCATTTATCCATTTGATAGTATAATTTTAAATTCCAGGCTTTAATTTGGAGGTGACGTGGGGTTGAGACTGCTCCTATCTGCTACCCTGTTTTTCCCCCCACCTTTTCCACTCTGAGCCAAACTTCTATTCCCAGAAGATAACTTCTTCACCCGTCCCTCCAGCCGAGTGCTGACCACTTCTGTTCTACGGGCTATTTGCTTACTGCCCCTGAATAGGAGCTCTGCAGAAGCACAGTGTGGTCTCCAACCCATGGGCTTACCTTTGTGCTGCAGCAGCCTGTTGGCCACGCAGATGTCCATTAACAATAGCTCTCTGTTGCTTATGTTCCCATATCTGGAATATACTGATAGTCCCCCAACGATGGTCCTGAAGGACTATATCATCTGGGGCACCTATGAAATCATCAAAAATTAAATTATAGTGAATAGGCTTCTTAGATCTATTCCAAAGTATTCTTGAAAGATGCACGGGCACAGATCATCTTCATTAAACAGGTATTTACTGGACAACTGCTTTGCGAGTACAGAACTGAGAGATTCAAGTCTCATCCCAAAAAGATTCACTGTCTTATAAGGTAAAGATCAAGGAAACCAGTATAGATGTTCCTCAACTTACGATAGAGTTATGTCCCAGTAAACTCATCATACGTTGGAAATATACTAGGTCAAAATGCACTTAATACACCTAACCTACTAGACATGCTTAGCTTAGCTTAGCTTAGCTTAGCTCACTCACTTCAATTGTGCTCAGAACTCTTACATTAGCCTAGGCAAAATCATTTAGCACAAGGCCTGTTTTATAATAAAGTGCTGAACATCTCATAGAGTCTATTGAATAGTGTAGTAGCACTGAAACACAGACTGTTATACAGGTCCTCGAAATACGACTTCTACTGAATGCACATGGCCTTTGCACCATCTCAACATTTAAAAAAATCTTAAGTCTAATCATTGTAAGTGTGTAGTTACCATCTGTAGTTCCAGTGCTGCAGGAATATTATGAGAGAGAGAACGACCCAAGGAGGAGAATATGAGCACCTCCATGAATCCTTTTCTATGCAACAATGTGTTCTGTGGAGACCCTAATGACAGTTCATAATTAACTAGATGTTGGTGAAAAACAGAGAGCTTAATGTGAATCTAGCCAAGGGGACCCAGTCTATGTGAACGAACATGATTCCATTTCTCTTATTTACCCTGTTAGGAAATTATACAAGACTGGTCTTGCAATTTGAGCTTCGGAGGAATGTCTTGTATTTCATTTTGGAAACCTACGTTCCTTCTACTTTCCTGGTGGTGTTATCCTGGGTTTCATTTTGGATCTCTCTCGATTCAGTTCCTGCAAGAACCTGCATTGGTAAGCAGCTTCAACACATTTCCAAGAACTCAGTAATTGGGTCCTTATTTTCTCCCTTCTACTGTTGCTTTCATTGGTATTTAGCAGGCAATTCTAGGAGTTGTTTTCCTTTTTTTTTTTTTTTTTTGGAGAGGTTTTTGCTATAGGGCGCATACACGCAGCAAAAAGACAGAGACAGAAAGCAAGAAATCAACCCACTCCCCCTCCCAGGGGGATGGCCACGGGGGGGGGGGGGATGGCCACGCTGCAATCCCTTCTCTTCCATTCTCTTCTCAGGATTTTGGGCACAGACACACATGTGCCTGGTGTGTTTCAAGCAACCGAGTCCAGGACTCAAACTGCAGTCAGCCATGTGGGAGTCCAGTGACATGAGTATTATGCCATCTGCTGGTCCAGAAAGTAATGAATTTTTTAACGTATTTTTTTACAGTGACAGAAAAGAATAACTGCGATTAGATCGTTTCTTATTTTGAGTACTGATCACCCCCCTCTAAGGAGAAGACAGAAAATGAAATATTTAGCAAACTACACCAGGGGCAGGCCACGTAGCCTGGTGGTTAAGGGTGCTGGATCCCATATGGCTAACTGTGCAGTTCTAATCCTGGCCCCAGCAGCTTATAAAGCACACTGGGGGGAATGGTTACATTGCTAGACTCCCACAGTCAACTGCAGTTCGAGTCCCAAACTCAGCAGCTTAAAACTCACTCTGGGTGTGTGTGCATGTGTGCTCAAGATCCCAAAAGGAAAATGGAGGAGAAGGGATTGTGGCATGGCAATCCCCCTGGGGGGGG